GCTTTATCACCTATTCAGGTTGTAAATCGTGTTTTTAAAAAGTAACTAAGTAACTAAGTAATTAATTACTTTTGAAAATAAGTAATCAGTAAAGTAATGGGATTACTTTTTTGGGGAAGTAATCAGTAATTAGTTACTGATTACTTTTTTCAAGTAACTTGACCAACACTGCAAAGAACAATATAGTATACACAACTATTAAACATTATGTCTCTCCCTTCTGAGTCCCTGTCAGTACATACATTAGTAATTGATGAACAAATTGATTTAGTTTGCTTTAAAGAAACCTGGTTAGAGCAGAATAATTATGTTAGTTTAAATGAATCAATAGCCTTATAATACTTAAATCTCCAATAGTGGGTTACAAAGCAGTGGAAAAATACATTTCATCACAGTAGATCTTTCTCAAAGGACTGTAACTAAGTTTAAGGATATAATTTCCCCATGTGCCAACACAGTGCTGAGCAGGTACTTAAACTCTACTCCCTAATATTTTTTTACAACTTCAATGCATATTTAATTTTCTGTAATATATTTATAATTAGAGCTATTTGCATTTATTAGAGATATTTTGTTACATTTTGTAACTTTGTAATATATCCTTTTATTTAGTTCAGTTTAGTTAATTACTGTTCTTTTCATTTTGGAGCAATTGTCACCACATCATTTCCTCTTCGATTATTACGGTATTCTGATTTTGATTCAGATGATTCCTGGAAGAAATATAATCCAGTTCAGTTCAATTTTATTTATATAGTGCCAAATCGCAACAAGGTGCTTTAAACTGATGCTTGAGTGATATAACATCACCAGTGTTGGGAAGGTTACTTTTAAAATGTATTCCATTACAGATTACAGATTACATGCCCCAAAATGTATTCTGTAACTTATTCCGTTACGTTACTCAATGAGAGTAACGTATTCTGAATACTTTGGATTACTTAATACATTATCATGCTGTTTACAACTACATGAATGTACTATTGCTGTGATTTATTATTGTTACTGAAGGTCCACGGCTCCGAACCGTAGTAAAGGGACCTCTGGCTAATACGTCGGGTTCGTGTCGGGCTCGTAGCCGAAAACTAGCTTTACTTTGTTGTCTGGGTCAACTTTGCTAGCAGATACGGAGGAAAACACGAACACGGTGTACAGTCGAGTCTTAATAGCTTACTTACAGCTGGGCTCGTCAGGCTCTCTTCTTGGCTGCAGTGGTTATTATTATATTTACATGCTTCATACATGCTATGCCTTTACCACACTGCCTATCGTCTTCATATTAAATAATTTGTTGAATAATACTATTTAAAAATATTTCTTCACGTCATTATGCGGGCCACAATAAGGGGTGACATGTGCCGCGAGGTTAAGTCACACGCATTAGAGCCTCTTAATGTGATACTAACCCCAAGTTGCTTTCGCATGCAGCTATCAAGAGTGTGAATGTTAGATAGAAATCACTATATAATAATCAGCTCATTTACCTACATTTGAATTACTGAAAAATGTCGAACTAAAGATTACATTGACAAAAAAGTTTGTTTTTTGTGTGTTTAGATGTTTCTTTTATATGCTGCCCAATGACTGTAGAAACTGTCACTTGGTCGTGTTTTCGTAGCGTAAACGCTGGCCCTCCTCTCAGAGCCTACGCTCTATCTGCTATTCCCGAACAGAGATACGCAAGTTTCTCCGTGACTGCAGCTGTCAGTCAAAGCTGTTATGATGACGTTTCACCCCAATTTAACATCACCGCGGTAGGAATTAGAATCAAACTTATGGGAAAGGAGACCCATTGAACATCAATGAGCGTGATGAGAACTATTGAAAACAAAAGAAAGAATCTTTGGAAAAAAATTATCTAAGGAGAATTAATTTATTTTAGTCTGACCCCAGTCCCATCTGCTAACATGGAGGAGGCGGGGTTTATGACCTATACTGCAGCCAGGCACCAGGGGGCGATAGAGACGTTTTGGCTTCATTTTTGTGGAGCTGTCGCGTCGTCCATGTTTTCTACAGTCATTGATGCTGCCCAACTAAAAATGATCATTTTTAACCCATTATAAGAACTACATCTAACACATGTACCTAAACTGGTACAGACTGTTGCCTCCTGGCTGCTGCATACACCCAAATGGTGCAGAAATGAAGCATTAAACTTCAGACATTTCCTATTGCATATGTGTGTAAATAGGCAAGTATACCTGTGGGGGGAATGGGTGCCGTCCTCTAGATTAGATTGGCTCTCTCCATAGCCCATCAGGGGTTTAATGGAGGCTCGGTACTGCTGCAGCCCTGCTGGGATTCCTAGGACTCCAACATTCACCACATCTTTTGCGAGAGATGGAGGGGCACTGCACTGGGAGGAGATGCTGCGGC